CCAGTGGTCTGTCCTTTTGCTCCTGACGTCAGTGGTACTGTCGTCACTTTGGCCGTTGTTGATTCTGTGTAAAATAAATAATAATACTGTATATACACGGGTCTTAGAAACTAATAATATATCCTACAGGCCTCTGTAGTCTAAAGAGTATGACGCTCACCGAGACAGCGATAGATTGCGGGTTCGCGATTCCCACAACTGACCTCTTTTTTCATACAACTAATTAATAACTTTCGTTGATAAACTGTTTGGTACGATATAAAAGAGTGGCGAAGAGAGAGGTTCCGGGGGACAAACATACTCTGTGACAGTAACAGAATACTACTGTAATGGACCATGGCCTACAAAGGGCCAGCTAACCTGCCTAGGCTTAAGACTAGGTTAAACTAGGCTTAGCTTAACTAACCTTCAATTAAATAAAATTCTATTTTATTATCTATTTGATGTGTGTGTGTGTGTGTGTGAAGGGGGTGGGGCAGGGGTTGTGTGTGTATATATATTATATATCATAATTTTTTTTAGATATCTAAGTCTCTGGGAAGGATAATGATAATTATATAGAACAATGTAGGCATATCTACATACCAGTGGTCTGTGCTTTTGCTCCAGACGTCAGTGGTACTGTCGTTATTTTGGCCATTGATTCTGTGTAAAATAAATAATAATACTCTAACTTCGGTCTTAGAAACTGTAATAATATATCGTACGGGGCTCTGTAGTATAAAGAGTATGACTCACCGAGACTGCGATAGATTGCGGCGGGTTCGATTCCCACAACTGACCTCTTTTTTCATACAACTAATAAATAACTTTCGTTGATAAACCGTTTAGTACAATATAAAACAGTGGTGGATATAGTGAGGTTTAGGGGGACAAACCCACTCTGTAAAGAACAGTAACGCGAACTACTGTAATGGGTCATGGCCTACAAAGGGCCAGCCTGCCTAGGCTTCAGAAGGTTGGCATATAGACAAACTAGGCTTAGCTTAACTAACCTGCAATTAAATAAAATTATATTTTATTATCTATTTGATGTGTGTGTGTGTGTGTGTGTGTGGAGGGGTGGGGGCTGGGGTTGTGTGTATAT